TTTTTTTTTTTTTTTTTTCAGTCATTATGAAAACTAAAAATGCCCCTATAAATGGTCCCAAAATTCTCTGCATGGCCATACCATGCTCCTTGCCCTTTTGGGTGCCACTTCTTGAGAGCCTTGAGTTTGGGAGCCTCACAGGAGTGTCTGACAAGGATGACCCTGTCAGAAGCAGTGAGGAGAGGCTGAGTCAGAGGCCAGCTAATAGTCCCCAGCCTCTGTGTACTCTGTGAACCCTGTGTAGGGACCTTGTTTCTAAAAGATCAGATCTGTGGGTTCAGCCCCTTCCCTCAAGTTGCAATATTGAAGGATTCTATGGGCAAAATATCGAATGACACAGGAAGCATCAAAAGAAGATGGAACACAGACACAGAGTCACTGCACCAAAAAGAATCGGTTGTTGTTCAGCTATTTCAGGAGGTAGCATATGACCAAGGACCGATGGTATTGAAGGAAGTAGTCCAAGCTGCACTGAAGGCACTGGGAACAAAAGAAGCCTCCAGGAACTGACGGAACACCAACCGAGATGTTTCAACAAACAGATGCAGCACTGGAGGTACTAACTCCTAGACACCAAGAAATTTGGAAGACAGCCACCCAACCATCCAACTGGAAGAGATCCATATTTGTGCCATTCAAGAAAGATGATCTAACTGAATGCAGAAATTATTGAACAATATCGTTAATATCACACACAAGTGAAATTTTGCTAAAGATAGTTCGGAGATGGTTGCAGTAGTAATACATGGACAGGGAACTGCCAGAAATTCAAGCCAGATTCAGAAGAGGACATGGAAAGAGAGAGATCATTGCTGATGGCAGGTGGATCTTGGCTGAAAGTAAAGACAATCAGAAAGATGTTTAGCTGTGTTTCATTGACTATGTAAAGGCATTTGACTGTGTAGATAATAACAAATTGTGGATAATAGTCTGAAGAATGGGAATTCCAGAACACTTAATTGTGCTCATGAGGAACCTGTACATAGACCAGGAGGCTGTCATTCGAACAAAACAAGGGGGCACTGCATGGTTTAAAATCAAGAAGGGAGTGCATCAGGGTTGTATCCTTTTGCCATACTTTTTAAATTTATATGATGAGCAAATAATCAAAGAAGCTGGACTATATGAAGGAAGAGTGTGTCACCAGGATTGGAGGAAGACTCATTAACAATCTGACATATGTAGATGACACAACCTTGCTTGCTGAAAGTGAGGATGACTTGAAGCATCTTACTGATGAAGATCAAAGCCTGCAGCCTTCAGTATAGATTACACCTCAACATAAAGAGAATGAAAATCCTCACAACTGGACCAATAAGCAGCATCACAATAAATGGAGAAAAGATGGAAGTTGTCAAGCATTTTATTTTACTTGGATCCACAATCAACACCCATGGAAGCAGCAATCAAGAAATCAAATGACGTATTGCATTGGGCAAATGTGCTGCAAAAAAGCCCCTTAAAAAAAAAAAAAAAAAAAAAAAAGCCTCTTTAAAGTGTTCAACAGCAAAGACGTTACTTTGAAGACTAAGGTGCGCCTGACCCAATCCATGGTATTTTCAGTCACCTCCTGTGTGTACAAAAGCTGGACAATGAGTAAGGAGACCGAAGAAGAATTGATGCCTTTGCATTGTGGTGGTGGTGGTGAAGAATATGGAATATACCGTGGACTGCCAGAAGAATGAACAAATCTGTCTTGGAGGAAATAGAACCAGAATGCCGCTTGGAAACAAGGATGGCAAGACTTAGTCTCATGTACTTTGGACATGTTGTCTGGAGGAACCAGTCCCTGGAGAAGGACATGATGCTTGTGGGTAGAAAACAAAACAAACCCACTACCATCAAGCCTGTTCTGACTCATAGCAACCTCCACTGGATTTTCAAGCCAGGAAATCTTTACGTAAGTAGATTGTCCCACCTTCCTTCTGTAGAGTGGCTGGTGGGTTTGACCTGCCAAACTACTGGTTAGCAGTCAGATGCCTTGCACACTTCACCACAGAGCTCCTTTGATAAAGTAGAGGGTCACCAAAAAAGAGGAAGACCCTCAACAAGATGGACTGACACAGTGACTGCAACGACGGGCTCCAACTTTGTGAGGTTGGCACGGGACCTGGCAGTGTTTTGTTCTGTTGTGCCTAGAGTCACTGTGAGATGCAACTGACTCGATGGCACCTAACAACAGCACCAGCCCATCAACTCTGTGTCCACACTGCGCTGTGCAGAGCTGGTTGAGGGGGTCCTTGCCTGGACCACAGGGCAGCATTCTTCTGTGGCTGATGTGGGAGGTGCTTGGTGGGAGTGGTTGATAATGTCACTGGCCTCTTAGGAACCATGGTGTCCCCCATGACCACCACCCCAATCTGCCCTTCAAACTGCCAAGCTGGTGCTACTTCCTCAGGATTTCCAAAGGATTTCTCCTCTTTATTTTTAAGAAAACTACATACACACTATGCACGTGTGCACAAATGTTCCTGTCTGTTAGGTGCTGTCGGGTCAGTTCTGACTTCTAACTAGCCCTAAACGTGCCATCTTTGCTTGTTAACACTTTTAAGAAATCTTTCATAGCAGTTTCCCCAGTGCAGTACATCATTTAATTTCTTGCCTGCTATTTGAATGGGTGTTGATTGTGAGTCCAAGTAAACAGAAATCCTTGACAGCTTTGTTATTTTCTCCGATTACCTTGATGTGTTGCTTATTGGTCAGTTGTGAGGATTTTTGTTTTCTTTATGTTGAGGTGTAATCCATACCGAAGACAGTAGTCTTTGATCTTCATCAGTAAGTACTTCAAGTCATCTTCTCTCTCAGCAAGGAAGATTGTGTCATCTGCACATTGCAGGTTGTTCAGTGAGTCCAATCCTGATGCCATGTTCTTCACGTAGTCCAGCTTCTTGGATTAGTTGCCCAGCATACAGATTGAATAAGTGTGGTGAAAAGATCCAACCCTGACTCACACCTTTCCTGACTTTAAACCATGCAGTACCCCCCTTGTTCTGTTCAAATAATTGCCTCTTGATCTATGTACAGTTTCCACATGAGCACAGTTAAGGGTTCTGGAATTCCCATTCTTCACAGTGTTATCCATAAAGCTTACACATACGTAGATATCTTTTCAGTGTTTGCAATTTCTTGATTTTAGAAACTCTGTTCTGTTCATGAAGAAGCTCTGGTGGCATAGTGGGTAATGCGTTTGGCTGCTAGGCAGAAGGTTGGCAGTTCAAACCTACCAGCTGCTCCGTGGGAAGAAGATGAGACAATCTACTTCCATAAAGATTTACAGCCTTGGAAACCCAATGAGGGTTGCAATGAGTCAGAATCGACTTGATGGCAGTGGGTTTGGTTTTGGTTTTGGTTCTGTTGATGAAGAAAAAGGGCCTTGCCAGGCTGGCCCCTTTAGTCGGCTGCCTGGAGTAGTAACCAAGCATACTAAGGTGGACCACGTGTTGCAGTGTTCTGCTGGCCCTGGGTCCACTAAGGAAAGGTCACCTTGTGCAGTTGAGAAACCCAGAAATAGGCCGTAGGAGCTGGCTCTGAGTGCTTTCCATTTGCCACTGGGTCAGTTCTGATGATGTGTCAGACTGGGACTGTCCTTGATAGAGTTTTCAGTAGCTGACTTTTTTGGAATTAGATTGCCAGGCCTTTTTCCACGGTGCCTCTGGGTGTATTTGAACCTCCAGCCTTTTGGTTAGCAGCTGAGTTCACTGTTTCCAAATGACAGGCTAGTATCGTCAGCCAGCTCTAGGTGCCTTGGGGTCTGCATTTGTCCTCCTTTTGGAGTAAACATGCCTCCTCTTTGTTTCTCTTGCCTTCCAGTTCATTTACGATGAAGAAATTGTGTGGTAAGTTTTTAACCTTTGTTTTCAGCTGCTCCTTTTCTGTTTGTTCCCAGCATCCTTGTTTGTTGAGTTCATTGAATCATTTTTATTCCTTTTACAAACACAAGCTCATGAACTTGTAAGAATGACACCATGCTAAGCAACCATGCCTTTATTTATCCTTCCCCAGTGACAAACAGTATTCCCTTGATATTCCCACCTAATGGGTATGAAGATACGAAGCTAGAAGAGTTTTTTTAAAAAATCATGGTAATTTTCATAGGGAAAAGCATAAGACAATGTGAACCGTGGGGCCAAGAATCCAGACATGGCTCATGGGTCTGTGGGATGTAGAGATAACATGGGTGTCACAATAATGCAGTGAGGAAAGGATGGGGATCTCCAATGCTTCTGGGACAACTGGGGACCAACACAGTAGAAAATAGAATCAGATCCCTTCCTCACACCTTATACAAGAAGAAATCCCAGGCAAATTAATGGTCAGACTGTAAAAAGCAGGCCTTCAGCATGTGCTTGTCAGGTGAACAAATAAGCAATAGCTTGTGTGGCTTCCTCAGAAGCCTGTGGTCAGACCCACAAAAGTCTCTGCTGTCACAGAGTTGGATGCTGCATCCACAAAGCCCCCAAAAAGCAGATGCTTTGGCATCAATTCATGGCTACCCCATGTGCATCACAGTAGAACTGCTGCATAGGGTTTTCATGGTTGTGAAAACCAGCTTTCGGAAGTAGATCACCAGACCAGAAGAGAATGGTAAGAGTGTGTCCCAGCAAGGCTCCCTACAACCCAAAAGTCCACTGCCATCAAGTCAATTCTAACTCATAGTGATCCTATAGGACAGAGTAGAACTGCCTCCATAGGGTTCCTAAGGCTATAAATCTTTACAGAGCAGACTGCCACGTCTTTCTCCCACATAGTGGCTGGTGCATTTGAACCGCCAACCTTTTGGTTGGCAGCCAAGTGTTTAACCACTGTGCCACCAGGGCTCCTTGCAAGACGACCCCTTACTCCACCTATTTCCCAGGAGGCCTCTATGCCTGGGCCCCGCCTCATCTCAGTAAGTTCTTAGGGCCCTGGAATCTGAAACTTTCTTCATCACACTCAGCAGCTGCTCTACTAGTCTCTGCATCTCAGGTGGCCACAGACTCTCTTGGGATTGTACCTGTGTGACTCTACATGCCCTGAACCCTGGGATGTGGCAGCCTGGTCCATCCTCAGCCCTTTCCCCAGTTCTCAGTGGCTGCAGACAGGGGGAGTCTGGCTGGATCCTACATGAGTGCCCCCATTCAGTTTTCTCTCTCAGTCACCAAGAGGGCTTCAGTCTGGGTCTGGGTGGATATGGGGACAGGGCAGACAGAGACAGCCCGCCCTCCCCAGCCCCAGCCCCAGGTGCTCTGTGCAGGGTGGTGGAGCGGTCGTCTGGCTCTAACCACCGTTTCCTTTTTCTCTTTGAGGTGGGAAGGCTTGGTGCTCATCGTCTTGTATGTGTTTTACATTCTGATCATGAAGTAAGTGCCTTTTTCCTTCTCCTTGGCTGCTCTAGCCTTTTGCTGGCTTTGGAAAAGCAAAACCCCCATGGGCTCTTCTGTCCCTGATGGGCAGCCCCAGGTCTCTGGTCGGCATCCTGCGGGGTGTGGCCAGAGTAGGGGAGTGACGTTCAGACACTGTTTTGGGGGAGCTGTCCACAAACAGGCCAGGGGAGTCGCGCTAGGAGCCTTCCCCAAACAAGATGCCAGCAAGGACCTCTGTGCCCCACTCTGCTGCTTCTCCACCCCTGGAGTAGCCACGCTCCCTTTCTTTGTGAACCTCCAGACACTTCAGTACCATACTCTTAAAAAACCCAGGCTGCTTTAGCTTCATTACATGCCGCCTCTCAGGGCCACTGCCGTGCACCGCCACAGAGGGCACAACTCACAGCACTGCGGGCCTGCGGCCCAGATCAAATGACCCGTGAGCTGGGCCCACCCAGGTTTTCTCTTCCTCCTCACACCTCCACAGGCAGCTGAAAGGAAAGACAACCTTCTGATTTTGATGGAGCTATAAATCCCCACAGTGTTTTATAAAAATGGGCAATAATTGATCACGTTGCTGGAAAACTGCCCTTTGGTGACCTCTCTCTGCCTGCCTCTCAATGAGGCAGCCAGCCTCAGGGGCTTTGAGGTAGAGTCTGTCTCTGGGGAATGCGAGGCTGGCTGTGAGGGAGGAGTTGTCTGTAGAGTGCCCCAGAGCGTGATTGGCTGCTTTGAGGCATTGGGCAGGCCTGGTAATGCCTCCTTCGAGCCTGTCCCAAGGGCTTGGTTGAACTTCTTTTATTAGGACAGGGTTGTAACTTGCTTGAGACATCTTGGGCTAAAGGTCTCTTACGCCCCCAGGAAGCCCACTGACAACTCACTGGGGGCAGACCCCTCACACTGCACATTGTTCTGAAGGTCCTGTCGGAAACCCGTCAGCTGAGTTGGAAAACCTTGGTTCACTACCTCGCTCCCAGAAGGGTACTCCCAGGGCCAGGCTGGCCTTGTTGGGGAGGAAAGGGTGGGGAGACCCCAGCAGACTTCTCCACCCATATGATCAGTGGGACTCGCCTCCCAGGTCTTCCCTGACCTTCTGTCTTACCCTTCCAGGTACAATGTGAAGATGCAAGCCTTTTTCACCGTCAAACAAAAGACCGTTGCAAACGGCAACACAGTCAACAACGAGTTAGAGGATGGTAATGATTACTATGACATTAGCTATGATGACCCCTCCGTGCCATTACTGAGGCAAGGTAAGGCTGAGCAGACAGAAGGGACTCAAATACTGTCACTGAAGCCACTCTCTCCTTTAATGCATATACACACGTGCACATGTGTACTCATACACGCATACTCCCCCTAAGCTGTCACTCTCTCTGGATTTGTTGTTGTTGTTACCTGCTGTCAAGTCAGCCTTGACTCATGACAGCCCCGTACATAGCAGGACAGAACTACCGCCTGTGCCATCCCCATGACTGGTTAGGAATTAGGCCATTGTGCTCCACAACGTTTTCATGGCTGAATTTTGGAAGTAGGTTACCTGGCCTTTCTCCCTACTCCATCTTGGTCTGGAAGCTCCATTGAAACCTGGTCAGCGTCACAGCATCGTGCCAGCCTCCAGACAGGTGGTGGCCGTGCTGGCAGTGCATTGGCTGGGAATTGATCCTGGGTCTCCCACACAGCAGACAAGAATTCTACCTCTCAGCCACCACTGCCCTTACTCTCAGGGCTGACCTTTGGTCAAAGGCAACTAAACAAGGAAGGACAATTAGGGTTTGAGATGTTTCCCATATTGATGTTCACTTAGATGGATGAAGGACAGAGGAAAGGAAAAGAAAAGAAAAGAAAAGAAAAAAAAAAAACCTTCATGGGAATTTTCCAAACCACCCAAGGAAGCATCACGGTCCTGCTTCCAACTCCTGAAAGGCCATGGTATCTCTCTGACCCACGTAAAAGGCCAACGACAGGACGCTGAAGGCTCAGGCGCAGGAGAGCAGGCCTGAGCCCTCCCCTAGTTTCCCACAGGCCCGGCCCAGTCTAGAGGGGCCTGCTGCTCCCAGCTGGGAGCACTTGCCCAGAAGATGAGCAAGGCCAGCTGAGCCTTTGAGCTGAGCAGCTGTTCCCTGACCAGCTTCCCAGAGAGGCCAGCACAGAGCCCCTTGCCCTGGGGAGGACAGCCTTGTCCTCTCAGCTGCTGATAACCCCCTGGTCTGGGAACTGGGGTTCCAGCCTCCAGAGCCAGCCCATGTCATCGACCCAATGCTGTCGAGTTGATTCTGACTCACAGTGGCCCTACAGGATGGAGTAGAACTGCCCCCATAGGGTTTCCAAGGCTGTAATCTTTATGGAAGCAGATTGCCACATCTTCCTCCCGTGGATCACCTAGTGGATTCGAAATACCTTTTGATTAGCAGCTGAGCACTAAACCAGGGCTCCTTTGGTCATCTCTGCAGAACCCTGAATTATCCAGGCTGCTTCCTTGGAAAACTTGTCCTCCTGTCTTAATAAACCAGCCAGTCACCAGGTTATCCCCTCTGTTGGGGAGGCTGCTGGGGAAAAAGAGCACTCATGCCTCCTACCCCAAGACCAGTGCTGAAGTCTGAATAGCCACCCAGTTGTCTCAAGCAGTTCCAGTGCATGGTGATCCCAGGTGTGTCAGGGCAGACCTGTGTTCCAGTTTTCAGTAGCTGTTTTTTTTTTTTTCCAAAGATCACCAGGCCTTTCCTCTGAGCTGCTTCTGGGGAGACTAGAGTCACCATCTTTTCAGTTAGCAGCAGTGGGTTGACCTTTGCACCACCCAGGGCCTCCAGAGCTCAAAAGCCAGGGCTTAATCCAGCCTCTTTGGGTTCCATCCCCCAGTATCGCTGGAGGCCTCTGGGACCAGGTGAAATGACCTTGGACTGGCCACCTGAGAGATCTTTCTCCCTAGTCCCCATGGCCCTGGGCTAGTCATAGCTACTTTCAGGTGACTTTCATTCATTTATGATGCTAACAGTTGGGCCAGATGGTCTCAGAAAGGCCAGTATGAGCCTGTGTCTAGGACATTGGGGGCTGTACTTCCTTGTCCCCCACCTCCCAGGTCTTTGTTCTGGGCTGGATCAGAGTAAGAGGTCCACTTTGACCAGATGCAGTCTGTCTCCTGACTCAGGTAACCTCCAAGAGGAGATGCTTGGAGCAGGTGCCCAAGTGAGAGGTGACTCTCTCCACAGGAAAGGAAGTAGACTATTGGGGTGGGGTGGGAGCACAATCAGGGTTGGAGGGACCCACCCACTGGGGACGGAGCAAAGGAATCCTGCAGAGCATAGGACTTTGCCTGTGTGTGGAAACGCAGCTGCCCCTTTGCTGTGTTCCACCAATACAGAGCGGCTGCCCCAGGGGAAAGCCCGTTTCCAGGACAACGTCAGAAGGGGAGGCAGCGACTTGGGTTTTAGCTCCACAGACACAGTGGCTCCAAGGTATCTCTCTAACGTTCCCACACATAGTCTCTCCAGGCAAAGGTTGCTTCCTGCCTAGTCCTGTAGACTTGGGATCAGTGCCCCAGGCTCTCCTGGAGATACTGAGTGGGGAATGCCAGCCCTAGAGCTACCTAGCACCCCCTGCGGCTGACGGGGTGTCCCTGCTGCTCACATTTCTTGTTTCCAAGATGGTGGAGGCCTCAGCTACTGGCCCTTTCAGGGAACCCAGGCCCCCCTCTGGCCTCTGTCTGCATGGGGCCTTCTCTGGAGCTTGATCTTGACACAGTCTCCATCCCTTTTATATCCCAATATGGACTTTCCCACAAATTCATTTTTCCCAAAATCTCTTCATGTCTGGGACAATTTCTAGAAAACCAGAAGATTAGACGTAGGACTACAACTTCCTGCGAGCGCTGGGGAAGGAGGCAAGATCATGTCTCCTTCCAATGGGGGGAGAAGGAGGGAGAGGCTTGCTCGCCTGGCACTGGAGAGTGGGCGCCTGGAGAACTGCATGTTGGAGTTTTCTAGCACTGGTTGGAGGTTGCCCCTTCCCTCACAGACTCATTCTCCTCTCCAAGGCTCCCAGAGGACCATGTATGAGTCAGTCCAGGGCACTGTCCCCTAGAAACAAATTTGACTGAAGCAGGAGGAAACATCCATGAGCATTTCTGGGGGGACTGAGGAGGACAGGGGTTCCAGGACTTTGCCTTTTCGAATGGCATTGTCAGGGAATCTTGAGACGATGTCTGAGTCCCTCTCAGCCCATCCTCCATCTCCAGGCAGGATGCCATCTAACTCCTCACCCACAGAATACAAGATGCTTGCTGCTGGGTTCTTTAAGAACAGACAAGTGAACACCAACTACTGTTAATGTTCCTGGTCCCCCATAAAAATCAGGATGTTTGTGACCAAACCACTTGACAGGAGAAGAAAACTATAAAGTCTTTTACCCTCTCTCTAAGAGAACACCTTTCCGTTCTTAAATTTCTTGAAGGCTTGCCACTTAGGTCACCACATCGGCTTGGACCAGTGCTTTGTTTTTCATTCAGTTAGTCTCTTGTCTGAGACTCCTGCAGGTGTTTCACCAAACCAAACCAAACTCACTGCCGTTGAGTCGGATCTGACTCATAGCATCCCCTCCTCGGGTTTCTGAGGCGATATCACCTCGGAAGTAGATTGCCCAATCTTCTTTCTAAGAAGTGGCTGATGGGTTTGAACTGCCAGCCTTCTGGTTAGCAGTCAAATGTCTTAGGCACTACACCACCAGAGTGGGTATTTCACATCACACTACACTTCTGGTCAGAAAGCAGGGCCTGCTCCGCCAAGGGAAAGGTCCCAGGGATGGAGGCAGGAAGGCACCTCTGGTTCCAGCTGCTGGGAGCTCAGCCTCTCCTCACTGGTGTCCAGGTGGCCTTGGTCCCAGACTAACAGCTGTCCCCCTTGACCACTGGCCACCTTGTTACATCAAGCTGTCCTAGCTCGGAGGGTCACTGTGGGGCATTCATTCCCAGCTGCCCTGGGGCTGGGCACACCTTTGACTTGGGCCAGGGAGGAAGGGGCAGGTATACCTGGCCCTGGACAGAACTTTGGGGAAAATGTACCGTAATTGAATTACCTTCTGGGTGGCCTCTTTGGACTTGGAGGTACCACCTTGTGCTGGCCCTGGGCAGGTGGCAGCAGCGCATGGTGCCTGGAGAGGGGCTACTGGGGCCGCCCCCTCGGAAGGCTGAGGTTCCATTGGCTCCCTCCTTCTGAGCCCACGTACCCCGTGGGGCCATGACAGGGTGTGTCTACTGGATTCAGCCTGCAGGTCTTTGGCTGGTCCCCTGCCCCCCTCCACCTCTGAGTTGGAAACTTCTGCACGGGGAGGGATCCGAGCATCCTGCGGCAGGGTGGGGCTGTTGGGCACGGGCCCTTGTGTTCCTCAGAGTGGACGCAGAACCATCTTGTTCACCCAGGCGAGGGATGGTCCCCAAGGCCAGAAGGCTGGGCATCAGAGTTCCCTTAGAAGTCCCCCTACTAACCCCTTCATCCAATAACCCCGGCCCCGCACTGCCATGGAGAATGCTGCCCGGCTCTCGGCACCCACCGCACGCTAATCGTGTCTGGCACTCACTCTCGGCCTCTGTCTCCTTAACTCCTCTCCTCTTCTGAATTGTAAGTAATCTGCTTCCATCCAAGCAATAACACGTGCATTAAAGACAGTCCCACGAGCCCAGCCCAGCACACGCCTCACTGGAGGTTGGCGTCCATTTCCGACAAATGCATGATCCTGGCTTTGTTTTCTAACCCACACGCCTCCTGTCTGCTGAGCCTTGCTGCCTGTTCGGTGAGGGGTGTGTGTTTGGTGTGTGCGTGTTTGTGTTTATGCCATTAACTCACATGGATTTGCTTCCTATACCTGGTCTCTGGTTGCCTTGTACCTGCGAGGAACACTCACCAGGAGTGGTAACCAGTGCAGAGGGAAGGGCATATCCATTCTTACAGCCACTCGTTGGGAAAATTCAGCCTGCTTGTGTGTGCTGTGTTCACGAGTTTAGTGTCTAGGACCTTCTGGGACTCTGGAGTTAAATGTCAAATCCCTCAGCACAGGACATGCTTGACAGGAGTGGGGGATGGTGGGTTTTGTCACAGCAGCTGGGCTCAGCCAGTAGCTCACCATGTGCCATGGGACAAGCAGGTTCCTGTCTTAGGACCCAGCTGCCTCATCTTGGCCTGTGAGCCAAATCGTGGGTCTCGTGCTTGCCTCACAGAGAATAGTTAGATGCACCCTTCCCTGTGAGGTGGAGATAATCATTTAAGGAAAAGCACCAGAAAGAGTACCAGGGACAGGTGGCCGTGGGGGACACCCAGAGCCAGTGGTCTCTAGTGCTTTTCCAACGTTTTCCATTCCAGGTGACCTCTGTCAGTTTGTAGTTTGTCTGCACCTCTGTAAGCCAAAGGAAAGACGGGTCCCCTCACAGTCACAGTCATGGGGGAAGGTGGCAGGGACCCTGTTTCTATTGTAGGTGGTCTACCCAGTGAGGCCACAGAAGGGCTGGAGGTAGGGTATCAGATAAGTAGTCCTTGATCAGGGGGACCATGGGGCCTCTCTGATACTCCCAGGGGGCAGGCATGGCAGAACCAGTAACTCACTTTGACCAGTGGGAGGGTGCTGAAGCCAGTCACTGCAGTATGGCTTCCATTGACTGCCAGCTGCCAGGACCACAGGCAGAGAAGCACCCCACACGAGGGAAAGCCATCCCAGGCCTTGGGTGGGTCCTCAGGGAGGTTTCAGCACTAATCATGGTGTCATGCTCCATAGTGAAGGAGAAGCCACCATACAGCAAAAACCCCGTGGTGATGGTGGACGAGGTCATGAGCTCCAGCCCTCACAAGTTCAACTTCCCAGAGGCGGGCTTACGCATAATGATCACCAATAAATTTGGGCCCAGGACCCGACTACGGATGGCCAGCAGGATCATAATTAATGAGGTGAGTTTGCTTAAGAGACAGTAAGAATGAGTGGCTCTGGGTAGGTTCTGACACTAAAGCAAGGCTCAGAGTATGAGGGCTTTTCCTGGTGTTGGGCCACCAGGGTGTCTGCCACCAGGTTGTCCTTGATCCACGCACCTGTTTATGGAAGGCCTGGCACCTCTGGAGGGAGCCACTTGGAGGTGACCAAGTGTTTAGGTGCTTGGCTGCTAACCAAAAGATTGGTGGTTTGAACCCACTAGCTGCTCCATGGGAGAAAGATGTGGCAATCTGCTTCCATAAAGATTTACAGTCTTGGAACCCAGTGGGGCAGTTCTGCTCTGTCCTGTCGGGTGACTGTGAGTCGGAATCAACTTGGCAGCAGGTTTGCTTTGGTTTCGGTGCTTCTGGAAGCCTGAGGGACGCGCTCCATTCAGGTGGGCTTTGAAAGCAGACCGCAACTAAATATACCCGCAGTGTTTCTCGAAGCGTGTGGTCAGGCTCTGGGCTAGAACTAATTGGAGAAAGGCCCTTCTGAAGTATAGATTGTTTCTTTAAAATGCTGTTTAGGGCAAGAAAAGATGAATACACCACTCTTCTGAATGGATAGCAAATTCTAGAAGGAAACCCAAGACACTGGTGAACAGTGATTGTTCTGGTTCCCTAGTGCCGCTCTGACAGGATTATACCACAAATGGGATGGCCTTAACAAACAGGAGTTTATTCTCTTACAGTTGGGAGGCATTAAGTCTGAGTTCAAAGTGCCAGGCTCTAGGGTGGGGCTGGGTGAAAGTCCCTCCCTCAACCTTGGGGTCCAGCTCTGCCTCCTGCTCCTGGCCCACTGGAGCTAGAGGCTTTTCTTTACTCAGCTGTTGGCACTGAGGCTGACAAGCCCAAGGTTGACAAGGAAAAAGGCACAGTCCCGATGTTACCAAACCACACAGCAGGCCATTAACTCAAGTCCATCAAATGTCCCAAAGTCGGCAGAGCATGGCAGGCTGCTGAACAATGACCCAGCTACATGCAGGGTTCAAGTGTGCCGTAAGCTAGAGACCATTCCCAAAGCTGTTTCTTATATACAGGAAGCAGACCACATCCCTAAGGCAGCTACTCAGCTGCTCACAGTAGATTCCGCCATGGAGTTGATTGTCAGTCTCCTCATGGGGAATACTACACCCAGCTGCCCAGCCACTCAGCCAGGCCCAGCCAAGCTGACACACAGACTGAGCTACCACAGTGACTGCCTGTGAGGGAAACGCCCTTTTTACTCTGTACCTTCTCTCTTCGCTTGAATTTGGTGTCGTGTCTCCTTCTCATTTGAAAAATAGTCATTAAATAATTGTCTTATTCAGAGTGCAAGCAGTAGAGCAAAGATAGCCTGCTTCTGCTCACCAGTTCCCCAGTCTTGCTGTACTTGTGCCCATTAGAGTTGTAAGACCTTATGCTTACCTGCAGGTAGTTATGGTTGTTGCCAGGTATCATCAAGTTGGTTTGCAATTCATCACAACCCCATGTAACAGAGTGGAACTGCCCTACAGGGTCTCCTAGGCTGTGATCTTTAAGGAAGTCGATCACAAGATCTTTCGCTCACAGAACCACTGGATAGGTTTGGTGCAGACACTGGGTGGGTTTGAAACTCCAACCTTTTGTTAGCAGCCAAGTGCTTATCCATTGTACCACCAGAGCTCCTCAGGTAGTTAGTTATTAGAGGGTTTTAAACTTGGATGGCTAATACTGGGTAGTTAGCAGATAGAGTGTACGGAAAAGTGATTATTTTGCAAGGCTTACAGGTTCTGAATCTCATGCACTTCTACTTTGATTTCGTATGTAATTTGTCCTCTGCAGGGAAAGTGTATTAAGTCAGGGAAAAACCATCCCAGGCTTTGAATCCTATTGAGTCGTTTTACTCCGAATCAGTAAAAATTGAATCATTTTGTTCCAAATCCATAAAATTTGAATCAGGGAAATTTGACTGAGTCTCGGCTGTTTTTCACAAACACGATCATTGTACTGACTGAGTGCTGGGGGTTGGGTGCTGAACAACTATTAAGAATTTGGGGATTTGAGTTTAGAATAGATTGTTTGTGGCTCTTGCAGCCAGGGATGTAATGGGGCTTTGATGAGCCCATAAAATGCTGGTGGTCATTCCCAGATGTGTGAAAAACCTGGGCAAACCTCATCTTCCATCTCGTTGGAATTTGCAGCCCCGGGAGCCAGAGTCTGGGCTGGCTGTGGAGTAGGAAGGTCTGAGTTTCATGTTGAATTAACCACTGACTCCTTTACTCTGCTGGGCCTCAGTGCCTTGGTCAGGACGCTTCCAGCTCGAAAAATCTCAGTGACACAGGCATGAAGGGTTAATGCCTGGAGGCTAAGTGGAGTCTTCAGGGAAATTGGAATGGGAGTGGGGAGAAGAAAAAACAACCATAGCATGTCCAGTTTCAAAGTTATTTCTTAAGAACCCTAGTCTCAGGTACTCTTCCATTTTAATTCTGCAATGTACAGATGGGTTTGCAAAGCTAAAATGAATCAATGGTAGACACTCCTGGGGAGTGGGTGTCCTTCCTTGTTCATCATCAAAGAAGGCAGAGCAGCCCTGTGAGAGGATTTGAAGGGGGTGGCTACTAGGTGTTAGGCGCCATCAAGTTGACTCCAACTTGTAGTGATTCCATGTGACAGACTGGAACTGCCCCATTGGGTGTTCTCGGCTATTATCTTTAAGGACCAGATCTCTGTGGGGCCTCTGGGTGAGTTCAAACTTTGAACCTTTTCGCAGCAGCCAAGTGCTTAGCTTGTGTGCCACCGGGGCTCCTTAGGTAGGGACTAAGGAGGACATTGTCTTTCCTTTACCCAAAGGCTGCACCTGGCACCACCCATAGCCACAAAGCTGAGCAGCCAGGGACCCAGAATTTCCCTCACCCTCTGTTTCTCACCCCCCCATATGAATATGCCTCCCCGCCCCATCCCTCCACCTCTTTCATCCCCACCACTCCCTCCTCCTTGCCTCACACCTGGATGCCGGTCTTTCTGAGCTGCTGATACTGCCTGTAACTTCTTGAACACCTGCTGGGTGCCTGGCAGGTGCTAGACACTTACCTGTGTGTGGCATTAATCCTCCTAACGACCTTGTGAGGAAGTTTCTAGTTTATCTGTCAGAAAGAAATCATGTGCCCACAGCCACGTAAATCATGTGCCCACAGCCACGTAGATAAAAAGAAGCAAGGGTTCCAACCCAAATCTGAGTCTAGACCCACAAAGGGAGACTGCAAGGTTTCTTAGAGGTCCACCCTCCCACGCACTTCTTTTGATACCTTGATTCCCTCTACAGTATCCAGCCCCTGCTTGAGACACTTGTTATTACTCATTTTTGTTGTTTTCACCCCTTACTCTCTTCTGAAGTCTGAACATTCTTGGAACGTTGCCCCTGCTCTGGTCCCAGCCCTCACCATCCCATCACTGTCCTCTAGAAACCTCCTCATTTGTGTATGTCTGCAACATGTAGAGCCCTGATATAAGGGATTAAGATCCATCACCTCCATCATGTTATAAGCTGTGCCTTTTTCAGTGCAACCTCAGATTGTTGTAAATATTTTTTTTTTCCAAGTACAATCCTCTGTTGATTCCTATAAGCTAGGGTCAAGAGATCTCCCTGTACCCCAATTCACATTGCTGCTATTAACGTTGTTACTAAACCGTGTCCCCTTTCCGATTCTACCTTGGTGCAGCTAGATGGTCTTGGACAGCAAAGATGGCCTGCCAGCTAACCCTCTCAGGCAGCAAATGTTATTCCTACGTGTGTGAGCCTGAATCAGGGACACAGGTCACTCTGCCCTTTTTGGTGGAATGAGTGTTGTGATCTCTTTGGAGAAAAAAAAAAAATTGATTTCCACTCCTCTCTAGATTTCATGACTTGCAAGTCCCTGACAAAGACTGAAGTGAAGACAGCCGGCAGGTCAGCTCCTCTTTCTTGTTGAGAAATAATAGGCTTCCACTTGAAGTGATGATGCCCTCCCCACTTTTTAACATTCAGTAACCACAAGGGTAGGTGTTAGAAATGCAGCTATAGGATGTTGCCTTGGGGACACGTTTGCTGTCCCTTGGTCTCCCGCTGAAATAATTGGAAGGGAAATATGTGGCCTTTCTAGGAGGTTCATTACGCACAAGGCCTGAAGCTGATCCATAAATATTCCTAATGAGAAAGGTGACCTGTGTAAGGGCCACTGTATCCCTGGGAAAAGGAATCCTGTTGGTTTCTTCAAATGTGGCCTCTATCTTTTCCTCATTTAATAAACCCAACCATTGCTGTCGGATCAATTCTGACTCATAGCGACCCTGTAGGGCAGAGTAGAACTGCACCATAGGGCTTCCAAGGCTATACATCTTTATGGAAGCAGACTGCCACATCTTTTTTTGCGCACAGTGGTTGTTGTGTTTGAACCACCAACCTTTCTGTTCGCAGCTGAGTGCTTTAACTGCTGCAGCACTAGGGCTCCTTCTTTGTTTAGTAGGAACCTAGAAGCCCTCAGCTTCTGCATGGACATGAAGAGGCAGCCTGGTCAGTAGCCAGGCTGTGGGAGGAAGAGCAGCCAGGAAGGGGGACAAGGGGATGAGATTGGTCACAGATATTTGCCCTTGAGAGCACTCACTGGACATGGCAAAAGCTTTGACTGGAGTAGACTGTGCCAATGGCCAGTAACCCAGAAAGATGCTCAACATTATGGTTAGTTATAAAGGAAATGTAAATTAAAACCACAATTCGATACCACTGTATACCCACCAGAATGGCCAAAATTAAAAGGACTGACAATACCAAGTGTTGGCAAGTACGGGAAGCAGTTGAAATTCTAAGACGTTGCTGGTACAAGTATAAAATGTTTCAATGTGCACCTGCCTTACCAAACCAAACCCAACACCACTGAGTAGATTCTGACACATAACAACCCTATGGGACAGAGTATAACTGTCCCATAGGTTTTCCAAGGCTATAAATATTTTACAGAAGCAGACTACCACATCTTTTTCCCATGGAGTGCCTGGTGGGTTTCAACTGCCGATCTTTTGATTGGCAGCTGAGTACTTTAACAACTGGGCAACCAGGGCTCCTCACCCAGCTGTTTCACTCCTAGGGAGACACCCTCAGAGAAATGAGTGCATATGTCCTGAAAAAAGACAGGTACACAAATGTTCATAGCACTGTTATTCATCATACCCCCAAAGTGGAAACAACCCAAATGCCCCATAGGCAAAGGATACCCTGGTTTATCCATATAAGGGAATACTACACAGCCATGAAAAAGAGCAAACTATCAGTGCCTGCCACACCACGGGTAAATCCCCCAGATATTAGCTTGAGTGAAAGAAGCCAAGCATAAAATAGTACATACTGTTTGAATCAGTTATATAACATTCAGAACAGGAAAATGAAATCATGTTTATAAAATCAGAATAGAGATTACCACTGGGGAGGGGATGGGAAGAGCAGAAAAGTCCTGAGGGGGGCTTCTGGAGGTCTGGGAAGGTTCCACATTTGGAAGTAAAACATCATTGAGCTGAACACTTAAGATGAGAGTCCTTTCTTACTGTGGTAAAGATGTAAACAACACACCTGTGCCATTTCAACAGTCTCTACCTGCACAGTTCAGTGACATTCAATATGTCCATCATGCTGATCAGCCATCCCCATTATCCATTTCCACGTTTTGCTGTCGCCCCTAACAGAAGCTCAGTGTCCCTAAATAATGACTGTCCGTTGTCTCCCACCCACCCTGGTAACCACTGATAAACTTGGGCCTTTAGACACTTGCCTGTCCCAAATATTTCATGTAAGTAAGATCATGCCATATTTCTCCAATACAAGGACACTTTTTGTGCTTTTTGTATGATAGCTCAAAAATTAAGCAAAAAAGCTAGGTGGGGCCTTTCCTGTGACCATCTTCTGGTGGCTAAGAGATGTCCACAGTGCGAACCCTGGAATGGTCACCCTCATGGGGCCTAAGTGTGTGATGGCATGGTGAATAGACACTAAGAGTGAGGCCATTGCTCTGACCAGTCCCCAGAGCCTTCCAGAGAACTGTCCACATGGAAATGGGCAAACTTAGATGGATCCCAGGATCCCTGAGCCAAGTCTTAGTCTCCAGGGGTGATGATGTAGAAGCCCGCAAGGGCCTCGTGAGTGTGGGTGTGTGTGCCCACGTACTAGTCCACCTTTCAGAGTCTGTCTTGTCTCCTGTGTACACAGCGGCAGAGACTGATCAACTCAGCACCTGGTGTGAATGGCAAGCCACTGCCAAACGGGCGGCTGGAGAACGGCGAGGTTCCTGCGGAGAATCCCCAAGACCCGCAGCAGGACCGGCAGCAGCCACTGCCACCACAGCCGGAACCGCCACCCTCAGAGCCGGAGCCAGAACCAGCGCCAATCGAGACCACCTTCCTGTCCCCCTTCTCCGTGCCCAGTGAGTTCTGGGGACGTCCCGTCAGGACTGTCTTAGTCTCCCAGGGCTGCTGTAAGAGAGGACCACCAACCTTGTAAGTCTGGAAAGCTACTGTCTCACGGTTCTGGAGGCCAGAAATCCTCGTCACTGTGTCAGCCAGGCCATGTTCTCTCCAGAGCCTCTAGAGGAAGTCCTTCCTTGTCCCTCCCAGCTTCTGGGAGCCCCAGGTGTTCCTTGGCGTGCAGCTGCAGCACAACTGTCCTCGCACGACATCTTCCTTCTGTCACTATCTTCGTTTTTTATAAGGATGCCACTCAGATTAGACTAGGACTCACCCTCCTCCAGTATGACCTCATGTTAACTGGTAACATCTTCAGAGCCCCTATGTCCAGATGGGGTCACAGGTATGGGGATTAGGGTCAGGTTCACGGGTACATGGATTAGGTGTTCAACTGGTCCTTTGGGAGACATCATTCAGTCCATAAGAGGGACCAAGCCCAGGTCTTAGGGTGGAGGGCTGGAACAGGCCACAAAGTGGCGGCCGTTCCATGTGGGGTGGTAGGGCTGGTGGGAAGGGCTGATGTGGGTTCACCTGAAGGCTCTGGAGGCACCTGATAAATACCTGCCCAGGGACTGAGCGACAGATAAGAGCTGCAGTTGGATGCAGGCACTGCTGCGTGTGGCTGGAGCCTGGGTGACGGGCTGGCTGGGGACATGGGAGTAACCCCTCGCGACAGCACTGCAATGCTCAGGACAACTGTTCTTTCTTTTGCAGTAAGAAAAAGCAACAGCCAGTGTTATGTTTATGGGCACATTCAGATGCTCCCCACCCTTCCACCATGGCCAGCCATTTTGCCCACCATTGCTTATTGGCTTCTTGTTGGGTGCCATCAAGTTGATTCCAACTCCTAGTGAACCCATGTGATAGAGAGAACTTCCCCCAAAGGGGTTCCTAGGCTGTAATCTTTACAGAAGGAGCCCTGCTGGTGCAATGGTTAAGTGCTCCGCTGCCAGCCAAAAGTTCAGCACTTCAAACCCATCTATTATTACTCCATGGGAGACAGATGAGCCAGTCTGCTTCCATAAAGACTACAGCCTTGGAAACCCTTTGGGACAGTTCTCCTCTGTCCTGTAGGGTCACTGTGAGTCGGAACAGCCTCAGCAGCAGTGGGTTTGGTTTTTGATAATCTTCACGGGAGATGATCACCGGGTCTTTCTGCTAAGGAGCGGCTGGGTGGGTTTGAACCACCAACGTTTCGATTCTTGCTTATTGGCTAAGACGGGACATTCTAAGGCCACAACGACCCTTAGACAGTTGCACCTTAGACATTTGAGAGCATCTCCTACACATTAGTAAGTCAGAGTGGACCACCACCTGGCTCAGGCCCCCGTGTCCTCCATGTCACTTGGAGTCTAACTTGCAGGGCCCCATGTGATCTGACTGCTGGTTCCTTGCTGGCCCCCGTCTGCTCTGTCTTGCCCCTCTGTCCCAGCCACACCGCCCTCCGGTGTTGATCCCAGGCTCCGGCCTTAGGACCCCTGCACTTGATCTTCACTGGACTGCGTGTCCCCATTTATCTGTGCAGCCCCCTCCCTCCCGTCTTCAGCTCTCTGCTTAGCTGCCACCTCACCAGTGTGGCCTTCCCTGACTGCCCTATTTGAAATCTTTTAAATTGTTCTAATCTCACTTGTCTTCCCCCACTAAAATGTCAGGTCCAGGAGGGCAGGGGTCTTTTTCTGTTTTGTTCACTGCTGGGTTCACGACACCGTGCTTGACATATTGTAGGTACTTAGTAGGTGTTTGTTGAACGAATGAATTCAGTTGACACATGAAGGAACTCCCAGACTCACCCAGCCTGCCTCAATCTTTAACCAAGCCCATTGCGAAGGCCCCTGCCATCCTGCAGGGACATGAAGCCTGGGCATTTGGGCCCAATCTTGACAGTGCCTTCTTGGTGTCCTGCCATCTTGAGGGGCAGCAGGACTTCAGCAGAGGGTTTTAAAGTCTAGAACGTGATGCTTTTCTGGTGAGTACCCTTTATGCAGTCTCCAGAGGAGCTCTAGGTCCTTGGGGCCCAGAGAGCAGATGCCAGGCTCAAGTGTGGCCACAGGAAGGGACATGCAGTCATGGTCCAGGAAATAAGAGGAGCTTGGCGGGGGTGGGGCTGAGGGGTGGCAGCCACCATTTGGTGTGGTCTGTATACAAGTTCTGCAGCTCCATGGCATGGGTGGCAGAATCCCCAGCTCACAGGTGTTAGGCCTGCTGGGGCCATAGCCACCAGCCTCCACGGGTCACTTCATCTGAATCCTGGCCCCAATACTGCCTACCGCCCAGAGGTCTGCAGAACCAGAAAGAGGACTGGTCTTCCTGGTGAGCTGTTACTGTGCAAAGGGAGATTGCGACCATAAGAACATCTTCCCAGCTCCCGGCGGCCTGGTGTTCGGCAGGCTAGGGCAGGAGGACCCAGAGCTAGCCACCCTTCCCCTTGTGCACGTCCGGGATGTGGCACTCCTCTGAGAGGAAGAATGCCCTGCAGGGACTCTGGGCTGGTCATCCTCACCCCAGGGTGGGCATGTTTATAATGCAGCTGTCTTGCAAGGGCAGGGGCCAGATGGCTCCAGAGCCCCCCTGCTCCCAGGTTCTCTGCACCTATGAGTCCACCCCCAGGGACCTGTCCTTCCTGGTAGAGTAGGATGTCCTGTTGTCCTTGGTCCACCTTCTTCCTGAGGCCAGAGGCTCTCAGACATTCCCCGGGGCTCAGCCCATCACAGAGCCGAGGGCTGGAAGCTTCCTCTGGGCTTTGTGAGGGAAGGAAGTGCTTTTCTTTGTCCTGAGGAACTGGCCAGAGCTTCCTTTGTGTCCTTGTCCTGTTTCCAGGTGTTTCCTGGGAAACCACAGTAACTTCCCCTCCTCCTCCTCCCCGTCTCAGTGTAAAGGGCTGGCCGGGAAATGCAATTGTGAGGCTGCTGTTTGAGGTGTGTCCAGCAGCCAAGGAAAATCACAGCTGCTGTGGGCTGGGGCTTACAGGGGGCTAGTGCGAGTCAAGACCCACCCCCTAGTTCCCTCTCCACCACCACCCCTCCCTACCCCACCCCCCACCTTCACTGCCTTTTCAATTCTTCTTGGTTCTGGTTTCATAGTGCTCTGGGGCTGCAGGTGGCTCTGAGGGTAGCAGAACTAGTTGTCTGCTAACCTGGATCCCTGGAGGGAATCGCCAGGGACCTCGGAAAGAGACAAGGAGCAGGGGATGGCAGGCAGAGAGAAAAGATGACCCCCAGTGGCCAGCTCGGAAGCAGTGTAGCTTTAGGGGGTCAGGGAAAGATTCTAAGCCAGACCGTTCTGTGCTGTCGGGCAGGCTGGGAGGCAGGCTCTGGTCAGAGGCCTGAGGTGCAAATCTTGCTTCTGCAGCCATGCGGCACCAGGGCTCCTTAATTGGGATCATGTTGTTGGGTGCCGTCGAGTCGGCTCTGACTCGTAACAGCCCTGTGGACAATAGAATGAAACACTGACCAGCCCTGCACCACCCTCACAGTCACTGCAGGGCTTGAGCCCGTCGTCCGCCCACCGTGTTAATCCAGCTCATGGGGTCTCCCTGCTATCCATAAGGCTTCCAGTGGCCAGGTTTTCTTTTCAGAAGTGGAACTGGCTGTGTCCTTCTTCCTACTGTGGCTTAGTTTGCAAGCTCCACGGAAATCTGTCCACTATGGGTGACCCTGCTGGCATTGGAAACACCAGTAGCATAGCTCCCAACGTCACAGCAACACGCAAGCCACCACAGTAGGACAGACTGACAGGCGAGTGGTGGAATTTGCATCATAGTGGGCTTCCATCGAGGAGCTTGGTGGCACTGTAGTTAAGCATTCGGCTGCTAACTGAAAGGTTGGCGTTTCAAACACATAAGGTGCTCTGTGGGAGAGAGATGTGGCAGTCAGCTACCACAAAGATGGCAGCCTGGGAAACCCTATGAACAGTTCCTAGAGTCACCATGAGTTAGAATTGGCTTGACGGCGATTTTTTACAGGCTTGGTTATAGGGCTTCTGTTGTTCCTGGCTTCTAGCATCCTCCCATTTGGACTGTGAGCAATGTTTTAGAAAGGTCTGAGGTGCCACGGTCCCTGGAGCCCGGGAGCCAGGGGGAGGGGATAATGTGATGAGCACCTGCTGTGTGCTAGGAATGCTTCTTGGAAGCAAGAATGGCCAGACGTCATCTCACCTACTTTGGTCATGTTGTCAGAAGGGACCATTCCTTAGAGGAGGATGTCATGCTTGGTGAAGTGGAGGGTCAATAAAAGAGGAGAAAGCCCTCAACAAGATGGATTGGCATGGTGGTTGCAGGGATGGTCTCAGGTACAGTAGGGATCATGAAGCTGATGCAGGACCTATGTCGTTCTGCTATACATAGGGTTGCTATGAGTCAGAGACTACTTGACAACACCTAACAACAACATGTGCTAGGCACTGGGCTTCAGGCACTTTGCAGACCAGAAAGTTCCTTCCTATAAACCAAAACCAGACTCACTGCTATTGAGTCAGATCCAATTCATAGTGACCCCTCCTTGGGTTTCCAAGGCCGTATCACTATGGAAGTAGATTGCCCAGTCTTCCTTCCAAGGAGTGGCTGGTGGGTTTGAACCACCATCCTTCTGATTAGTAGTCAAATGCCTTAGGCACTGTGCTGCCAGAGCTCCTGACAATTCCTTCATTCAGTGACTATTTGGTACCAGACTCTGCTCTGGGCTTTGGGGGTCCACGTGGGTAAAAGACAGCCATAGTCCCTGTCCTCTAGAGCTTTCTGCTTGCAGGGCACATGTAAGCAGGTCATTGCTACAGTCCCAGCTGCCATTGGCCATGACCCATGTGGATCAGAGGAGAGCTATGCTCCACAGGGTTTCAGTGGCTGATTTTTCAAAAGCAGATTGCCAGGCCTTTCTTCTGAGGTGCTTCTGGATGAACTCAAGCTTCCAACATTTCGACTAGCAACTGAGTATGTTAACCGTTTGCATCCCCAGGGACTCCCAAG